TCACCAAATTTCTTACATTCTCCTCGTGAACTCCACTGCCTTCGTCAACCAAACGAAGAGCTCTGATCCCTTCTGACGGAGATCACACCTGTTCACCGGAGAAAACTTCTTGTTCTGTGCTCGCGCCTCCTTTCCGCAGACACTCCTCTGTGTCCAGCGGAACAAATCAGGAATTCCTCCTCTGCCTCTCACACAAGAATAACTGCCTCTCCAGAGCCGCCGCGCCTCGCCAAACTGCTCAGGTCCTCCTGCTTCGCGAACTCCCGAACCCTTCTTTGCGCGATCTCCGCCTCTTCCCTCTGCTCGAGTTGCTCGCAATACCAAACTCCTGCTCCAAAATCCTTTGCTGGCAGGCCTGTCGCAAATTTTCGGCCCTCGCTCGCGGACTGTTCCTCCTCCGTCTCGCCGAACCGCATAACCTGCAGTGTGAATCCTGTCAATCAAGGCTTTCACTGCTCACCAAATCTGTCGCAATTCAGCTGCCTGCGACGGGATCTGCTTGCTCCTCTGTTCGTGAATGCCGAACTCCTCTTCTTCGTCGCTGGCTGCGAACACATTTACGCGGACACCTCTAGCCAATAAGTATGAATCTTCCCACAGATGGCGTCAATTGTTGTGAGATATGTACTTCCTGACATAGAAATGAGACGAAAAAGAACACAAGCAAACACATATCGTTTACGTGGTTCGATCTAACTGGATCTACGTCCACAGGAGGAAATCAATCAAATAGTTCACTAAGGCAAAAGAAATGGAGAATACATAGCTTATACATAGAGATGAGCCCTCATCTTCATTTTATGGCCTCCCTCTCAAGCGACACCTTGATACAAGACCTCAAGATGCTCTCCTCCTCTCTATCTCTCTAGTTATTCTCTCCTCCTTTGTGGTAGCTTAAGATCTCTTCTCTTGCTCTCCTGAGTTTCACACCCTCTCTATTTATAGAAGCAAGAGAGTGGTAGGTGGGAGATAGGTAAGCGGTAGGTGAACGATAGGTAATATGTGGTAGGTGAGCGGTACCACATTATAAAAATACCTTTTTACCTTAAATCAATAATTGGGAGTCAAAATAACAATATATATAATATATATATATCTATATATATAGCTTGCTTAGGATTTAGTTGATGATCAATTCTGATTTTAGATTTTTTTCTTTTGCGTTTCTTTTTCAGAGGGCGACGAGAAGGTTCTCCGGTCATGACTCGTTCGAGGTGGTAACTATCTGTGAATTTCCTTTGTCGTTCCGACTGTCTCTAGACTTTTCCAACCTCTGTCATGCTGTTGTCGACTGTCTCCAACACCTTATGGCAGGTTGATCCTCCTCTAACTCCCTTCCGGTGGGCCGTCATCCTTCCTGCACTTGTCAGATAGCTGCTAGCACCTGCTGCTCCCTTCATACGTCGTTGCCACCTGCTGCCAACCACCTTTCAGCATGTCGAGACCCCTTGCTCCCTCCTGCACCGTAGCCACCTGCGGCTAGCATCCTCCTTACATCCCTCCTAATCCCTCCAGCGCCGCAACCACCTACTGCCAGACAACTTTTAGCAGGTCGATACCGCTCTTACTCCCAGCGCCGCAGCCACTTGGTGTTAACCACATTCCAGCACTGTCGCAACTCTCTTCTCCTCTGAGACCTGCTGCTCTCCTCTAGAGAACCGTTTGTGTTTTTGTGTTGTTTTATTCTTATTTTGAGGAGTCATCGTTGTCACTAAACCAATTGCATGTTTTATATTGTTTATGTTGAGGTGTTCTCATTTTAACTTTTGAATTCAGCAATATATATATCTTTTGTTTTGTAGTGTGTTTGGATAACTCCAGTATCAATGTTGTTAGATACATGTAATGTTGTCAACGCCTCAAAGCCGACAAGCTTCTCCATGGATCTAATTAGGCCGTGGTATGAATCTAGCTATGAAACCTTGAACTTTTCGGCGATGATTTCTCTGTTTTCTCCTGAGGCCCGTGTTGGTGCTACAATATTAGGCTTATTCTTGTTTGCTCCATATCATCTGGCAGTCATGATGTTCTCTTTTTATCTTCAAACATGTCAAGATATTACTTCTAGCCCCTCTTATGTCGTTCTAGTTCTGAGGTGATTTTCTCTCTCCTACCTCAAGCACAATCTCTGGTTGTGTTGAGGTAGGGTTGATTTGCATCTCAACATTTCTTCCTCGTAGGAAGGCGATGGTGACTAGCTTGCTTGGTCAGCGAGATGAAATAGAATGAGGTTTTTGATGTTTGCCTGCATCCCCGTGTCACCTCGAATTGAGATTGCTTCAAAAGGTTGCTTCTTCCCATAATACCTTTGAGGTGTCCTTGCTCTTAATCATCATTTGATCTTTCACAATGACGAACATCTTTTCTTTTCATTCCAATAGTCATAATGTTGATGAAAGCCAAATTGTTGATATCAAAGAATGTGATTTAGATGAGTTGTCAATCTTTTGCTGAGGAGAAAGAGTGGCATTGGCTAAGAGAGTAGCTTTAGAGTGTGAGAAAAAGGAAGAGAGAGAGGAAAATATCAAAGATAGAGCTAATGGACAAAAAACATTGACTTCCTCCTTTTGTCGGATGTTTACAAGAAGTTATGGCATACATTGTAAAAGTATTACTTATGCCAATGGTGTAATACCTTTTGTTTTGTTATGGTTTGGGTTAACTCTAGTATCAATGGTGTTAGGTACATGTAATGTTGCAGTGCCTCAAAGCCGATAAGCTTCTCCATGGATCCAATTAAACCAGAGTATGAATCTAGCTATGGAAACCTTGAACTTTTTCAGCAATGATTTCTCCGTTTTCTCAAGCCTGAAGACATGTGTTAATGCTATAATATTAGTTCTATTCTCGTTAGCTCCATATCCTATGGCACTCATGATGTTCTCTCTTAAATTTTTTATCTTCAAACATGTCAAGATATTACTTTTAGCCCCTCTTATGTGGTTATAGTTCTGAGGTGATTTTCTCTCTCCTGCTTTAAGTACAATTATTGGTTGTGTTGAGGTGGGGATGATTTGCAGCTCAACATTTCTTCCTCGTAGGAAGCCGATGGTGACTAGCTTGCTTGGTCAGCGAGTGAAATGTAATAAGGTTTTTGATGTTTTTCTGCATCCATGTCACTACAAATTGAGATTGCTCAAGAGGTTGCTTCTTCGTGTAATACCTTTGTGGGGTCCTTGCTCTTAAGCATCATTTGAACTTTCACTATGACCAACCTCTTGTCTTTTCGTTCCAATAGTCATTATGTTGATGAAAGACAAATTGTTGATATCAAAGAATGTGATTTATATGAGTTGTCGATCACTTTGTAGAGTGGCATTGGCTAAGAGAGGAGCTTTAGAGTTTGAGAGAAAGGAAAGAGAGAGAGGACAATATCAAAGACAGAGCTAATGGACAAAAAAATTTTCCTCCTTTTGTAGGATGTTTACAAGAAGTGATAGCATACACTGTAATAGTGTTTCTTATGCCAAGATCCATGGGATTTTCAAAAAAGTAGAACTCGTGTTCGACTCGTTTTAGTTCGAAATAAAGAAATTATATATATTATTTATATAATAATATATTATATATATTATTTATATAATAATATATAATATATATTTATATTTAAGTTTAAATCATAATAGCTAGTATGGTCATATAGTTCTACATCTTCTATTGCACAGATTTGGTGCATATTCAAATCCAAAATCCTACATCTATTTTTTCTAATTAATTTTAACGAGCTAATTTCGAGCTGAACACAAGTCAAATGAACAAAAAATATTTATATCGAGTCGAACACAAACACACTGTTCATGAGCCAATTTCGAGGCGATTTCGAACGAGCCGAACATGAGCCCAGCCTGAGGTCGCTTAAGCGCTGCTTGTTCACAACCCTACTCACATAGCTTCTCAACACTTAATTATAATGAATCATATTTTTACATCTTGTGCTTCTTAAAATTTTGGGGTCATTTCTTTCTCGTTTGCTTAAGGTGATTCGCTCTATGAGTAAGTGATATCAAACTAACTTGATCCTCAAGACCACCTTAGCACTTATGGCCCATTTTTTATGGGATCACAGGTAGCTCTTGAAAGGTGTGCATCAGATCAAATGAATGTGGAGGCCGAGTCTTAGCCCTTAAAGTTTTAATCACAGAGCCTAAAAAAACACTTAAAGACATGCCTACAGAAGTAATCACTCATATCGTTGTTAGGATTTGACTCATTTATGAAACATCTACAATGTTAGATATTAACTTGATATTATAAATGAATCATATAGTGAGATAAGTTCTAAAATTCTTGTATAACAAATTGAAAATGGGTCAAGTGTTTTGTTAAGTATTGGCTTTACATACATACTTGAATCATTTTATATTGTAGCCATTAAACTTCATGTGTGAATGTTTGAAAATGTATCTAAGTGATTTTGCATAATTTAGATAATTTTAAAATAACAGAAAAAATGCCATAAATTTATTTAGATGTAATTTATAAGTCCAAGGAGATGTAAACTAGCTGATAATTTATTTCAAGTCAAGGAGAGATCCTGTAAGCATGCCCCCTTCTAATCATGACAAGAGCAAGCCTCATAGCAAGTTCATAGATGTTGCTTACTTTTATAGTAGAGAAAAAGGATCCATAAAAAGGAATTATCATATTTTGAAGCAAAAAGTGATGTGCACATTATATATAACTAAAAGGAGAGGCTAGTAGATGCAGTTGTTATTTGGTTTGGTTTTGATATCGGTAATGCTTTTGTGGTGATGTATGGAGATCAATGCAAAGAGAACTAGCATATTTGACAAGCAAAAGATGAAAAAAAAAATTTCTTTCTCAATTCAGTCGCTTGTAAGCACAAAAAATTCATGCTTGGCTCTTCTGAGAGTTTGTTGGGGTCAAGTTTTGAAACGGCAATATTCAACTCTCCTCTTCAAAAAATATATATATTGTTAACAGAAAATAAAACTTAGATTTCATTAAGCTTTCATTAAGGGAATTCATTTCATTAAGCCTATTTAGCTGTACAAATAAGACGTAGAAATCAAAACTAGGAGTTGGCATCAAACTAACAGCTAGAACAATGCGAGGAATCTCAACAACAATAATAACTAGATGTTTTGAATCTCCAATGTTCTCATCAGCATATGTGTTCTCTATCCAATTCCTCTATTAATAAAAGCTGACTTGTGATTTTGAGATTATTGCTTTCTGTAAGTTCTTGAAAGATCTTTGATAACTAACGAAACCCATGAACCAGAACTCAAAATTGTCAATGGTTGCTACATGAATATATTTCTGGCTTGGTTTGTTAGCATTTTCACTTGGATTCACACCCTTTATCCTCCTCAGTGGAATCAATACCTGCAAAATATATAATATTAGTCAATAAAAACTTGCTGATGCATTTGCTTAATGACTGCTTCGTTTGTAAAATCCTTTTAGTTTGCAGTAAAAGAAAGATTAATGCATTGATTAGAAGAAAGGAAATAACCTTGTAGGGAATCCTAGAAATATTTCCTCTAGGAGATCTGATAACCAGAGACCGGTCGCTCAGGAAAGCAATCTTGTCTGTCGAAATGAAGAGGAGACCAGCAATAGGACCAACAGTAGTTGAAAGATGGCACTGAAAGGCCTTCACCAACCTTTCTCCCTCCCCAATGGAGAAATTTTTCTTGAACACTCTCTCAATTCCTCCTGCTTGAAGAATCCTTGTACCCAACCTCAACTTCGCTTTCACTGTCTCAGACACTCCAGGCCCCATGCTTACTGTAATTTAGGACTTGTTATGGTTAGATTTAAACAAATCCAACTTGAGAAACTTTAAGAAAAGCTTATAATGATACATGTCTTTTTTTGACTCGGACCTAGCTCAGTGATAGAGTTTAACTCAGGTCCAATCAAACTTACGGTGAACTAAGCTCAGATCCAATTGAGCAGAGTTCGAGAATGAATCAAATTGTATTTGCATCAGAATGTATTTATATAGGAGTTGCATCAACTCATGTAAAAATCAAATTAAAGCCTTAGATAGGATTCAAGTTGACAATTACCATGGTCCCGGATACCCTGTGCAAGATTATCCGCTTTTCTTCTGAACTTGTTCACGAGGCCAATAATGGACTCCGCTCCCTCTGCAAATTTATTCAGAACTTTAGTCATATTTTAGTTATTTGCTATGAGATGGTGATATTACAGAAAAATGATAGTTTTGATAATTACTCTGCTTAAGCTGAGAGGTGCCATACTGCGTAGTGCGAGCGAGCGCCACAATTGGTTCATGAAGGGAAGGTTTTTCTGCCACAGATCTGAAAGGAATACCAATGGCGTGTTCTTGGCTTGAATTCATCGTTCTGCTTTTGCTGCTTCTAATTTCTGGGAGATGTTATGTGCTAAGAAAATGGCATTTTGGAGGCTACTTATAGGCTAAAATAGTTTGTGAGAATGTGCAGAAACTGGGCGGTTAAGCAACTGGAAAAAAAAGCGAAGAAGAAACTTAGTGGTTTTCTGAATCAGCAGCTCATGGTTCAAAGCTTTCAGCTGCTTATCAGTAATAAAGTGATTTAGCCATGCTCAAAGATAACATAAGAAAATCTTTCTGAAAATGATGCTTTTGGATTTCCAGTGTCTCTACAGTTGTGGGCAAACCCCTGAACATAGGAACATGGAAGTGAAACCGAAGTTTTTCTACATGGTGGAAATAGCCAAACATGAACCATAGTGTGGTTTTTTTTTCTTTTTCTTACTTTTTTAAAAAATGAAATTTCAGCATTAAAATGCAAACTCACACCCATATTTACATCCTAACATCAAATTAATGGATTCCCTAAGCAAACCTTCAATGAGGTCACTCAATTGGGTGCCATAGGATTAGTTTGCTTTTATAAGTTTTTAAAACTAATCAAAAGTCTGTTTGGAGCAGTTGCAGTTTTTGTTTTTAATAAAATGAATCATAGCATTGTTGAGGAGAACATTTTTTTTTTTGTTTTTCTCTTTTATATTTGTCATAGTTCAATATGCTTGATTGGAGAAAACAATAAATCAAGTAAAGCTACGAAAAAACTGCCCATATAGTTCCAAAAGTTGATTCATTCTCTATTTTTGTAAGAGAAACTTATTTTTAAAAAAAAAATTTTTTTTTTTTTGCATATGTTTATCTTATAATCATTCTATTAACATAGGCCACATTTGGTATGACTTTTATTTCATGTTTTCATTTTTATTTATTAATATTTTTTTAACATTTTTGTTTTGTATAATGTTTGTGTTTTAATTTTCTTTGAATAAATTAACTTATTTTGAAAAATACTCAAAACATATTTCGAAAATAATCTGAAAAGGCCGATTATATTATTATTATTATTATTATTTTAAACAACATCATTAGTGATCTCTTATTAATTCTATCTAATATAATCCTAACCCAAAAGGTTAAAGTAATGGAGGGGACTTGGTCCCATCTGGCATGTATAAATTGATTCCACCCCATAGGTGATTTGGAAGTGGGACTCTTATCAGTCTTCTTTCTTTTAGTTCTTTTTCCTGTCCTTCAATGCCTGGGCCAATATCTAAGCAAGTTAGTGTCATCCCAGAACCTAATCAGCAATTTTATTTATATGCCTATTTTGTTCTGGTGGAAGGCCAATCTGGAGCCATGTGCTTCTGTGTCTTTATTTTATGTGCTTTGGGTTTTTAAATATCATTACTTTTGGGCCTTTTTTTTTGTAAATTTATAACTGTTTTGCACTTTTTAAAGTAATATATACTGTATTGATTATTTAATCCAATGCCAATCTTTTGATGCTGGACAAATCAAATTTCTTATTTTATTCAAGGGAGAGTTAATTCATCTGTATTTATTTACATTTCTAACACCAAATTATAACATGTTAGTGTCACATGTCAATGCTTGAAAATGTGTATTTTGTTTGTAAGAGGAAAATGGTTATGATATTCTTAATGTGATGTTAAGGATTTGAGTGTCTGCATGTAAATATGAATGTTTCGGCGTTTAGATATGTAAATACATAGGAATTGTGTGATATGTATGTAAATGCTCGTAATAGATTCGGTTTAGTGTTTTGTAGTTTAAATTTGGTGGGAATTGATCTTGATATTATTAAAATTATTTTTGTTCATGTTTTTTATTTTGAATAAAAAATATATACGATTTAAATTATATATTTGGTATTTAGTTTATTTTTAAAAATATTGAAATCATCTAAAATTTTTATTGAGTTTTTAAAAATAGCTAAATATACTATAAAATATCAAATATATCATCATTCTAACGACTTCTCAAGCCCTTTCTCTTTACCATTGTAGTCGATATTTCGAGCTCAAAAAGTGTGTTCATGTTCGGCTCGTTTGCTTAAAGAGCCGAACACGAGCTGTTCACGAACAAAGAGTCCTTTTAACAACTCTAATCATGTAGTCATAAGACAATAAGAATTTGAGCGAGTTTTAAAAATTATTATTTATATTAAAACATCATTTGAATCTAATTTAATAATTTGTATTATATTTTCTTAATCAATATTTTAATTGGTTATAAATCTTTGTAGTCTTGTAGTCAATTAGATTTTCTTAAAATACAACTTAATATATATACTTGATGAGTAGTATTTCGAGCCAAAACGAGCCGAACACATCTTAATTCGTGTTCGGCTCGTTAACTTATCGAACGAAATTAACGAGCCGAACACGAACTTCTTAACGAGTCGAACACGAGTTGTTCGCGAACATCGAGCCGTTTTGACAGCCCTAGTCAAGACCTAAGCAGTGGTCACTCCTCCTTGCTTTCTACTCTTTATTTCAATAGTTTTAAAATCAATTAAATTTATCATTTGCTTGGAAATCTCATTAGGTTAGGTTAGTGTTAATTTCAAATTAATCTCCGCACTTTCTTATGTTATCAATAGCTCGACGGAAATTGGCATGGGAGTTCATCATAGAAGCCATGTGAATGATCAATAGTGGGGTGAGAAGGCGAATCATCACAGCAGCTCATCGAAGATGGAATTGATGTGGTTGGAATCTGGCAAGCCGGTTCACAAGCCAACGAGCCAAACTCCAATGAACCGGCTGAGCCTGATTGTGAATTGATGTGGTTGGAATCTTCTTTAATGCTCATGGCTTGATAGCTCGACTCAAGAGCTCAAGGTTGAGCCTGATTGTGAGCCAGCTAAACTTAAACTCAAATGGATGTTACACTTAAGATCAAGTCAAATGTGTGTTTGGAGCTGGGAAGGTCTCATACTACTGATTGTGTTAATATTTTTGTAATAATCGATTAAAATAATAATAACAATGATAATAATAGTAATAAAATTGACATTGTGGGATAATCGTTGTTTGGGTTAGGCTTAAGAGTCGAACCAGAGAGCGAGAAGGAAGGAGGAGGTAGAGGAGCGGAGTGCTTCTCATATCAAAGCTTTGATGTCGTGCATAGAAAGAAGAAGACTCTCACAATTTGTCTAAGGCGAGGAGGTCGACGCTTGTATGTTTTATGATTACATAATATACAAATTCTAGCGTAGGTGCATATATCAATTTATTTCATGAGTTGTTTCGGAAGAATGTATATTGTGTAGAACAAAATGGTTTATATATAAATGCTTGTATGTGTATATTAAAAGTAGATTTCCCCGCGCGCTAAGATGTTATCCTATCACCTCAGACATTTGTGATGTTTATATCGATAACTTTTTCGTAGACTAGAGAATATCGGTCAAGGGCAAATAAGCATCTTTCCACCTTACGCAATCTTATAAATTTGATCAGAAACCGCTATGTCAAAGTGATAATATCAGTCAGAGGTATGTTAGATTATGTTTTGACAGTGTTCCTAAAATAAATGTGAAAATTAAATGCATAAAGTAACAGTAAACTTAAAGATTAAATCTTGAAGAGTACATTAAAAGTTAAAGTATATTAAAGTTTAAATTATTCCTATTGAATAAGTGTTACGAACACATGCATTAGATTATTATAAGATCTATAATAAAATATAAAAAACTAACATGCATATTGTTTTATCTTCCTTGAGTAACTATAGTTAGAAGTGTGATTGTCTCTACGTTATCATTGAATAACTCGTCATATTGTATTAATATTTTTTTTAGATTTTAAGTTTTTGAATAAGATGAATTGAATATGAGTTAATGTGTACAAGTTATGAGAACAACAACCAAAAAGGTAAAATTTCGACTTGTTAATTAAATTATTTTATTTAATGGCTCTTTCATGAATATTTAAACATTAAATTGTGAGACCGCTCCGTTCCCATCTTATCTTGATTAATTCCAATTCTTGAATCGGATCGTGACAACTATGTTAAATGATTATTCACATACTCTATCTTTCAAAACACCATTTTTACTATGTACATAAGATATACAACAGTGACTTGGAAGGCTGACGAAGCAACGAGTCAGCAACTCTATACTGGTAGCTGTTTGGTATGGACCAGAAAGCTTTCAGAATGAGATGATACAACTGCCTTCGGATTAATTAGGCGACCATGTGCTCGACCATGTGCTGGTATATGTCAATTCTTATCAAGTGACAGCAACCGATTCATAGGTTTTTTCTTCCTTTTTTTTTTTTAAAATTTTTTTTTCAAACTTGTGGTTCTGAGGCGATCAATCTTCTTTTTTATTGTCCTCAAATAAATATGATTTTTTATTTTTTATTTTTTTATTGTGGGTAGGAAGATTAGAACCACACGACCAAAAGAGCAATTGCCTTACTTTTAAATCTATTCATCAAACGAAGTAATTGATGATTCATATCAGTAAGGCAGCATTTTATATTAAGGCAAAAAGGAATTATTCATCACTTCTGTTTAAGGCAGTTGCGGCTTATTGAATAATCTGCTGATAAGTTATGTGATCATTGTCAGAAAAATGCCACCGCACCAAAGTTGTTTTCAGCATTTTAAAAACGCATAAGCTGTCAAAACGCAGTTGCAGTTTACCCCTAAACAGGTTAGGTGTGTTTTCAAAACGTCACCGCACCAAATAAGCTGCCCCAAATAAGATCTAAGTTGTCCGAGCACTTACGAGCAACACAGTGATTGAGCGTGTAATTTCTCAACATAAGGTTGCAGGTTCGAATCACATATATTCCTCATCTTTCCAATAAATAAAGGAAAAAAAAACAGCCCATGCTCGTGAGACCCATTTGCAGTGAACTACAGATGAAGACTTAAAAAAAAACAAGAATAGTAAATAAAAGATTTTCAGCTAAATAATCAGGCTAAGAGAAAGAAAACGCACTGAAAAATAGGAATAAAGAACCATATAGTTGCCCAAAGGAGAGCAAAATGGCAGCAGCTTAAAAGTTAATAATAGCAATACTTTTATGTGGTACTAATAATTTTAATATTATAAATATAAAAGTCATCATTTTCATGTTAGATAAGTAAATACATTAAGATTTGTGTGACACGTATGTAAATGCCAACATGTAAAGCAACAATTTGCATCCGGACCTTCCCCCTCACATATTCTCCCTCTCTGAATTTTGCATCAGGAAACTATTCACACCAGCATAAGAGCAGAGTGGAGAAGAATACAAAGATAATATTCCAGAAGTCAAAACCAGTTCCATCTTCTATTAATTTGCAGTATGAACCTTTCAAGCAATCTTCAGCAACAGGATTGCCACAACCGCACATAAAAACCAGACCAGCTACAGATTTCATGTACATGAATCTTATATATGGCTTATTTACCAGCTACCTATTTGATAAAATCTTAGGCTAGATGAAAAGATTATGACAAAATCATGCAAACAGCCATCTTATTCTGTTCTGAGAAAATAATCAGAACTCAAATAGAAAACATTCATAATGTACATAAAGTAGGATTTCACAACACTCATCTACGGGAAGATTTACGAGGCGTCGAGCGAGATTGAATCGGAAAGTTTACCGGATCCTCCGGCACTACAGTTTCAGCCGTAACTGGTGTGCGTACTCCGTAACCCATTTGCATTACAGCCCCTGGAACTGGTATAATTACAGGAGTACCTATAGCCGTAACAAGTCCGCTAACCACTGGATGTCCGATAGCAGTGCCGCACGGACCAACACCATGAGGTTCGGCCGATTGGTCCGAGAGTTGGTTGACAGAATTCACGGTTTTCGATAATGTCGCATTCGTCTGAGGCACAGCTGGAGCATCTCCGTCGCCAACAGTTGTGATGTCGTGGATGCTGGATCGCCTCCGGTCTTTGTTGCCCGAGTTCAAACGAATAAAGAACTTCTGCGCATGGCTCGCCACCTGGGTGGGTGTCCTTGTCACCACGAAGTTCCGTGAAATGCTCCGCCAATCGCCTTTGCCGTATTTTTCAAGCCCCAGAAGAAACAGCCTGCCCCGTCAAAGAAACAGTTGAGATAAGCAGAGATTAATATGAAACAATTATATAAGGTGAAATGAAAAAGGGAGCATTTACATATATAAAACCTGATTCATATACATTTACAAAGCGAACATCTAAATTTCACTTTTTACATTTATGCCACCCAAATCTTCCATAGCATATCAAAAGTACAACCATTTTAATCTTTAAAAGGTGAAATATACCTTTTCAGGCATAGGTGAAGTGGTTGGAGATGTAAATACCTAGGAATTGAGTGGTATGTATGTAAATCTTCCGATGCATAGAAAACATGTCAGATGCATAATGAAGTATATTTGAAAAAACACGTCAAAAATGGCTTATAATCCCAATACTTACTAGGGAAACCAAAGAGGAATGGGTTGTCAAAATAAAAAGCTTAGCTTAGCCAAATAGTTGAGATATCATGTTTACCAAACCATTAAAATCGAAGAAGGTTACTACTGATTGCCATTCCCAAACATTAATAAAAAGATTAAGAAGGAAGCATAGATGATTTTTGATAGCATGTTAAATAGAGAAGTTCTTGACATTACAAAACATACTTTTTCAAAAAGGGACGAGGGATCATTGCATGAGTTTGAGTGAACTTGTTCAAGCAGTGTAGTTTAAATGTAGTTATCACGTAGCATCATTAAGGATATAATTATGAAAGATGGAAACAAAACTATATGTTATTTATGTGGATTTGTGTTGAAATGTCACTAGAAACTATTCAAATTTAGCACAAGACATTTAACGTATAAGTAATAGCAATTGTTGAATACTGATTTGTCTGTGAAGGAATAGAGTGTAAGAAGATTGAAAGAGAGAAAGAGTCAATAGTAATGAAAAATAATTTGTCGTCTTATTCATAAAATGATTTCCCAATTTATAGAGGAGAGGGTATTATGTTGTTACGTTGCATTTTTGCTCTTGCTTTAAAAAGGTTTGTAATGGGATATTTATGGTATTTTACATGGGTAAGTCCGCCGTCCAATTGCTTTCTAGCTCGGTCGGTTAGACTTAATTGGCTTCAGCTTGTCAAAATCCGCTCAATCAGCTGAGCTTGATAGATATGGGTCGGCCGACAAATATGGTCTGATTGTTGATCCTTGAACACTAATGAAGAACCTCTAGGCGTCTCCGGGATGGTTGGAGGTGTCAGGGAACCGGATCTTGCTTCAGGTCGGCTAACTTGTAATATTTGGCTCGAATACACTTTTGTCTCACTTCTGACTCAGTGGCTTGTGCTCCCATCCTCTGGTCGTCTTTGGCCCGTCTTGTGGTTCTATCAGCTTTAGTCTCGTTGGCTTGGCTTAGATAGCTTCACTTGATCAGACAAGTGATTCATTCTCATGATCTTCTGTCAGCGGACTTGTCCTTATGAATCAACACCGACACATTTTTTATGACAAGTGGTTCTCATGATCTCCTCTTTCATTTTGGACCATTAGATCTCCTCAGAATAAGCACCGACACATTTTTTATGTACATCAATAAATTGTCATAACTTTAACTTCTTCTAGAACACGAATACAAATACTAAATAATGGTTAAACAAGTTTGAAATAATTTTTCAAGTTTGGCTATATTATCATTGGTGAGACGGGAAGGTTGGGGAAGGGATTATGATTTTTTGTACTTATTCCCCTCAAGAATAGTTGGTTCCATAATCAAGACGAGAGAATTAAATAAGGCAGAGAAATTTTGAGAATTAAACTGGGCGATATCTTTCAAAAGAAAAAAAAAAATAAACCTTATTACTTTTTTTTTAATTTAAAATATTAATATCTACAGCATATGGAAAACAAAAAATGAAATATGTATAGCTTTAAAATGACAAAAATTCGCACTTAAAAAATTACCGACTTCAATATCTTCTCCATGTCTCCATTCACACTGCAATGCCACATCAGGAGCTAAATCTATCTTTTGCAAGTTTTGTACAATCTTAGCTATTGGTTCTTTGATCTACACATATTTATTCTTAATCCTTCCATGCTAACTCAATCAATCTTATCGCTGCATCGTTTTCCTCTATTGTGCATGAAGAGGACAGCAAATAATTGGAACAAGTCAAATGATTATAATTATCTTCAATAGATATTGCTCTCAACATTTCTCCAACAAACAAATTTCACATTTTTACATTAAAGCCACATTTGTCTTGATTGATAGGGACACCTGGATCAATTTAGTATAGCAAGTCTAACCGCAATTTTATGGCTAGTACTTCCAAGAGATGCTTGTGGCAAAAGAAATGAATAAGAAATCCTTGAAGGATTTTTATTAAGCAATAATGAATTAGAAAATCATCACAGCTTCATACATATGCAAATATACACAAGTCAAGAAAATAAAATAGATAAGAATATAACAATAAAGAATAATATAAATAAAACAAAAATGGTACAAACAGGACAAATTGCAACAATATGTAAAAAAAAAAATTCACAAATTATTAAAAAAAAAGGTAATCTAGATGAAGAGGAACAAAAATAAAAACAATTTTAACATATTTCCCTCATATATCCCTACATCATGAAAGAAGAAGCCCTGAAATTTTAATGAAAAAAATAACGGTAAAGCAAGTTTGACTAAGTTGAGTAAATTAACATAGCAAGAAATCATTTCACCATATGTTACAAAAAAAGACAAAATTTATACATATATATATATATATATATGTGCCCTTTGTAAGGTAAATAGAATAAGTAGGGTAGTTTTAGGTGAGGTAGGTTTAATTACAGCAGTTTGTAGCAAATATAAAATGAAAAATATGCCCTTCGTAACACATCCCTAATATTATTAAAGGAGAAACTGCAGAATAGAGCACAGACTACACAAAATCGAGCAACACCGTATTATAGGATATCAATTTAAAGGTGTCCACCTCCCAATGAACCGCACAACATGAACTGGCTTCTTATGCAGCAATACCAATGCATCAACAACATTCATCATCATCCTAACAATTTATCATCAGTATAAATCCTTATTTTTCATTCATTTATGCTTGGTGTTGTATGATGTGTTAAACCTGTCATTTGCAAATCAGTTTGAAAAATTTCTATCCATGTTATCTCAAGTTTATTTTTTTCATCTTAATCCATGGATACTATCAGCCAAGCTAATGATTACATCTTCTACCCTTTATTATATATGTCCAAATCGCCTATGTTTATTTTCAACTATCTTATCTTCAATGGAAGTTGTACCAATGTCCCTCTAATATATTAATTATTTACTTTATTGTTTTTTATTTTTCAAACATCCATGTTAGTATTTACTCTTTAATGCATATCAGTAAATTTTTTATTGCAAAACACTTGGAAACGCATAATCATGCTACTTATAATTCAAGGGAAATTTGTTTAGAAGAATTTAGAATGTAATGTAATTCTTTTGCAGGAGCTCCAGGAAATGAGGTGATTGGCATGAAGAATTATAAATGCAATATAAAATACGAATGAATTTGAAATTTACACCCTAGTTCATTTTAGCTGAACTTAGAATTCGGCTTATTTGATCAAATTTGAAATTTACATCGTTCATTAATGTCAAATAGTATAGGTCGCCCTGCTGCCAGTTGCCACCGCCAACCGCCGACCACCAACTTCGGTAGTTGCTGTTGTCGGTTGTCGCGGTCTGTCATTGTCGATTAAAGCCTAACCCCAGCCATCGATTGACGCCTGTGCCGCCAGCTGCATACTGCCCCCTGCCAGGTGCCAGCCTCTAATCGTCGCTTGCCACCGCCAGCATCCGTTCGCCACAGTTACCGACGATCACCGCTACCCGCCGCATTTATTTGCGATCTCCGCCGCAGCTATCGGCGGGGGGGGCCCCCCCCCCTTTCCCCCCCCCCCCCCCCCACGCCCGCGCGCATTCAATCGTCGGCATCAATCTCCAATTGCTGCCTCCGAACTCCAACCACCATCTGCCAATAATACTTTGTACATTTTGAAATACATTTTTTTCACTTTACTTCAAACCAAACAAAAAAAATAAAGTCATAAATTTATTTTATATTGAACAAAATAACTCAAAAGTATTTCAAATACAATACATTACTTCTGTATTACATTTATTTTCATTAAACCAAACAGACCCTCAATAAAAATTGCCAAATTTTTATGATATCCTCTTGCGACATACAACCCTGCGACACTCCATTTTAATCATTTAACCCTATATCTAGATACTATATCCATATCAATATTCTCATCCTTCATTATAACAAACCCAAGATTTTATCTTCATTAATATTAATTGATAAGAACTAATATCACCCACGTAGAATTCATATTATATAACCACTATTTTCTTTTTAATTCTAAATCATTTATCTTCTCAACATTTTTTCTACTCTTTTAACTTTTCACTGATCCAGCAAATGCCCTGCCGACTATAACTACATTATCTGCAGGAACCATACGGTACATACATCAAAGCACCTAACTCACTTTGAATATCCATTACAAGCATTCCTCATAACAAATGTAAAAAGATATACTCAAGGTTATTCCGTGATTCATTAACAAAATGACATATAAATTACAACCCAATGCCTTTTATTGCAACCTATTACCTATCACATATAGTAGAATAAACGAGAAACAACACATGAGACGGCTTGTAAAAGAAATTACCTAGTTGTGCATTCTGTCAAACTAGAGATCAATGGATCATTAGTGAATCACATGTATTCTTTAAATTTTAATCTTAGATTATTTGCATGCATTTGCACCCAAGAGAAATGAATTAGAAAAAAAATGAAAAGAGTAGCTTTAAAACAAAAGTAAAGTTCACACTATCGTAAGATGGTTGAAGAACCCATTTAACAGAATTTCTAATAAAAGGAAAGGTTGGATAACATCAAGTCTAAGATCCATACTATGGGGAGAAGTGCTATTACATAACATATATTAACATAACATTTCATTGAGAATGAAAAATAGGTAAAGATCAAACATAATTTTTTCTGTGTC